TAAAATAACTTATTATTAAATAATTACAAGAAAATAAAATTTAGTTTGTTAGATTTATCTTATTAAGACCTTTTAAATGATTATATTTATATAATAATTAATTACTTAAAAAGATAATTTATATAAAAATATAATTATAAAAAAAAATAATTTTTTTAATTATTCTAATTTGATTAAATATATAATAAATTATAATTATAATTTATAAAATTATAGGATTTTACAAATAGATTTTATTTTAAATGATATTCATTTTATAAAAAATATTTTTAAAATATTTTAAGTTAATAATAAATTTTAAAATTATATAATTAATATTATAAAAAATAAATAAAAAAATATACTTAAATAATATAAAATCTAAATATATAAATAATATAAATTAATAATAAATATTTTAAAAAGTTTTAATATAAAAGATCAGTAAAAAAAATAAAGTTATTTAATAAATTTGTATTTAAAATAAATTAAAGTTTATAAATAATTTATAAATATATAAATTTGTTAAAAAAATATAAATCTTATTATTATTAATAAATATTATAAAATATTTCAATTAAAAATTCAATTCAAAAATACTAGTTAAAACTAAATAAATCAGATATATGATAAATCAACCAAAAATTTATCTAATTTAACTTAAAATTTAATATCATTAAAATTCAACTAAATTTAAATCTATCTTAGTTATAATTAATTTGTATAATTGGATTAAATTTAAATGTCATTATTGATAATTATTAATATTATATATAACTCTTTTATATAAGTTGATTTTTTGCAAATGTATAATTTTATATTTTAATTTAAGAAAATTGCCTTTTATAATATAAATAATATTATTAAGCAGATTTGAATCTTAATTTTTATTAAGATTAGTTTAATATTTATGAAGTAATTATATTTTTCATAATGCTAATGATATACAAATTTACTTTTTTCATTTTTTTTTAATTTTAAAATTTCATTTTAAGAAAATTACATAATAAATTATTAGAAAGTTTAAATTTAGTTGAACCTTAATTTTTATTAAATTATTTGATATTTATAGAATAAATTATATTTTAAACATTAATAATATATAAATTCTATTTAATGACTTTTATAAAAAATTTAAATGAAATAAAAAGTATATAAAATGTAATTAGTATTATTAGTTAAATTATGATCAGTTTTATAAAGCTTATTTGATCAAATAATGTCAATTTATAATTGAATTATATTCTAAATTGATATCAAATTATTTTATATGATTTGAATTATTTGATATCAATTATTTCAATTGAAAATCAAACAATTCTACTAAAAATAATATTAAATTTAGCCAAAATTTAAATATCTGATTTCTAGTCAATTTGAATTAATTTAATCATTAAACTTCAGATTTTGTAAAAAGTTTAAAATTAATTAAAAAAAAATTAAAAAAATTATTTATTTATAAATTGTAAAATTTTAATTTTATAATATATATGATGCAGGAAGTCTATACTTAACAATATAAATGTAATACTTAAAAATCTTTCAACTCTTTAAAAATGAAATTTAGAAAAAATAAACTGGTAACTTTATTTTTTGAGATAAGCTCTATTAAATTACCAATCAGTTTTTCAAAATAAGTTTTATATAAAAAGTTATAGGTATTTAAAATTGGATAATTTTCATATGATCTTTCTGAATTTAAAACATATATTATTGATTGAAATTTATGATAATTCGAGCCGGCATTATGCTAATTAATCATAATGTCAGCCCGAAATATTGTAATTTTAAAATGATACACAAAAAAAATGATTAATATCTCGTTTTTCATTGGTCAATTACTAATCACGTGATATAAAATCCACAAAAAATTTTGAAACATTGTTAAGACTTCCGACACCATAGTAAATAAAAATATCTTTTTTATTAAATTTATTAAAATGTTAATAATTAGCTTGTTCTACTTTCAAAAGAAATTTTCATGTCTTAAAAAAAAATATTTATAGTTTCTTAGCAAATTATTAAAAAGTTTAAAATGAAAAAATTAAATTATATAAAGATATCATACAAAAGAATTATTAGATAAAGAATAAAGCATTTAATTAATGTTACTAAAGTAAATATATTTTTATTAATCATATAATTATTAATTTTCATCTTAATAAATCTTCTCAAACTTGATAATAAACAATTTAAAATTATTTCGATAAAGATTAAAAGATAAAGATTATATATGCTATACTGCAGGTTGCGAATAAAAATTTAACTAGTATTATAAAAATTAAAAGTTTATTTCTTTTGACATTGAGATATCCCAAATTGAAATTTCCTAAAGCGGACACGTGTCGTAAGTAAATTTAATTAAATAGAAAAATCTAAATTAATTTAGGTGAAAGCTGAAATTTTTAAATTAATACGTCGCTAGTCTTGCTGGTTGTGTGTATTCCTGCCTTTTATCCTTAACATTAATAACTAATACCATTCAGGGTTGTCGTCGACTGGTTTGGTGGTTAAATTTATTATGAAATAATTTTTTATTTCTTTATACATCAACATTTTTTATACTCTCCGCAGCAACCATACCTTCATACATTTAAGATATGAATAATCCATCAATTTAAAATTTATTTTTTTTTATTTATGGAGATTACATGAAGATAAAATAGATGAAATAAATATGCTTTGTCACGTTCCCTTTACCTTGTTATAAATTTTTTTTTATTTTGTATTAAGGCATGAATTTGTCCTTGTAACTTAAAAAATATGAAAAAAAATGGTTTCATTATTAATCTGACGTCCATTTAAAAATTAATTTTTTTCGTCATCATCGATAAACTTAAATTTCTCTTACTACGACTACAATGATCATTTATATCAACCTAAAAGATGTTTTCTCAAAAGCGTAAGATCTAATAACCATTGAAATATATTAAATACTTTATCACATGGAAAGGAAAAAGATTGCTAAAGAAATTTACTACATCAACTGTTAAAAACCCGTTAAATTTTGTCAAATTTAGTTAAATTGAAATCGTAAATCACAAATCGTCGTCAATATTTGTCGAAACCGTCCAAACTATTTCGACTTTTGCCAAAATGGGATTAGGTTCTTAAAAAAGGTTTGTCTACTATTATCAGCAAGTTGATAAATGGTTAGTTTTATTTTATTGAAAATTACAATTATACTTACAATAGGATCTCACTTCTTCAAACAATTATTTAAGCATTTGTTCTCAAGTATTTGTTCTCTATTAAAGATTGATCACACAGTACATTAACATAATTATCTTTATTTTACTATATGGTCATATAAGCACCAAGTTTATCCAGGAAGGTCACATGATTATTTAATTAACCGCAGCAACAAATAACACGAGGTAATTTAATCAGAATGAAATCATTTATTTGGGAACCAATCTATGCTAAATAGAGATGTTTTCTCAAGACATTCTCAAAAGAAATGTTGAAAACATTATAAATAATGAAATCATTTTAAATGCCGAAATTGCTTTAAAAAAGTTATATATAAACACCATGCTTTTCCAGGTGTAATTAAATTTCAAATCAAAAATGTGTTCAGATAATAAAGATCAAATTTCCACAAATCCTTCGGGAGATGAACCTATGGCTCATATTGGTAAAGGATGTACTGCCCTTGATGGTGTAGGTGTTGTTCCTTCAGATACCACGCTAAGTATGTATATTCTTTGATTTAAAAGATCTATTGCTTCGGAAGAAATTTACATAATATTTAATTTAGAGCAAGCACAACAACAATCATTATCACAACCACAACCACAACCACAATCTAAAGAACAACAACAACCACAACCACAATCTAAAAATGCTACTGAATATGCTACTGAATATGTAACTGATTCTCTTAGTTATGCATATAATGTTGCTAAGGTATAGTAATATCACGTAAAGACTTTTAACTCGGCGGCTTTTTTCTTGTAATTTTTCTGACGTCTTTTTTTTTATAAAAAATAAATAATAATAATTAGGATACTATTGGTAGCGTGTTAGGAACTTATCAAACGTCAACTACGACCGAAAAGGCTCAAGATCAAAAAACTGATAAATAAATCTATGCAACTCGGAAAGGAGCAATTTTTAGATACGATAACCTTTGCCTATTCCATTGACCTATAATATTATTTTCTTAATGTACCTAATTCAAAATTTTATTTTAAAAAAAGGCAATAATTAAATACCCTTCCAAAGGTTGTAAAATTTGTTCAATTTATTATAAAAAAAAACGAAATAAATTTAAAAATTAAAATATTACCGTACATGCGTAATGTGATGTCTTTTTTATATAAAAAAAAAAAAACTAAATTTATAGTTTCATTATTTGCGATTTATTATTTTTTAATTGCCTGGTCTGGCAAAGAAACTTTAGTTTCGACGGGATCGCTGTCGAAATTATTTTAAAATCTTATTGAAAATAACTTGAAACCTAAAATCATAATAAAAACCCGTCAAAAGTTAAAGTTTTATTATAACAAACACATTGAACACAGAATTTTGACGATTGTCATTTGCAAGCATTATGATCTCGCTATTTTTTTGATTTAACCCGAATTTGAATTTAGATTTACACAAAACAGGTTAACTATTTTTGAGAAGGCACTCCATATTAATGTTATTACGCTAAGGCCTTTAATGAAGATTCTGCCCCTCTCAATGTACTGCGCATTTACAAAAATAAACCAATGAAACAGTTATTAATTATCTGCCAGCAATAACAACAAAGGATCTCAGAATTTACCAGGCTCCTCAATAGACTCCTCAAGACTTGTGAAGATTTCCAAACTATCTTCATCATGATGTTTGTACCTTTATTTTCTTAAATAAAGCTTTAGTCAAATAAATAGAAAACTGTATCGGTAGCTTCCCTCAAAAATCTTTTTTTTATTATTACTATCCCTACTGATACTGATAAAAATCATTTAAACTCTTAAATTTCATCTTTTTCTAACCTTTGTATTGCTACACATAATGTTCACTCTCATAATGAACCTTTAAACAAAATCATCTTTTTTTCAAATTTTCTGTTCCATTAATCAATTTAACATCATAGGATTACAAGAAACTAATTTTAAGTCAAATCAATTCATTTTTAATCGCAATTTTTCTGAATACACTATATTTTTTAGTAAAAATCAAGTTATCCAATATATCAGATTCAGTGTTAGTATTTTATTTAGCCCAAACATCACAAAACACATATTTTATCACGCTTTAGAATTTGATAAATCATTTTCGCTAAATTACAATTTGCCAACAAAAAAAAACTTATTATTATTAATTGTTATCTTTCCCCAACTAAAATTTCATCTGCTTTCATAAAAAAGATTGCTTATATTAATTAATTGTTAAATGACGTCACAAAATATGACTACCACATTATTCTCATCAGTGACCATAATGATGACATAGATCGCTCAAATAATCTTTCTTTAGTTAATTCACTCGTCAGACATAACTTATATGATGTGTTTAATATTAGATCTAAAAACGCACGCTCATCTTACCCTTTGTTTATCAGAAGTAGTATAATGTTCAAGATAGATTATATCTTTATGACCTTTGAACTCTCTTTAAATGTCTTTGGGTTATAAAACTTTTCAAGTTGATCATTTATTTCTGATCATCATATAGTTTCAGCCAAATGTATTAATTTTCTTAAGATGTCGAATAATCATGACAGCTCTGCAAAATCTTCATTTAACTATAGCTTTATGGACGAATCAAAATGGACTAAATTTTGTGACAAATTTGAAAACATCGTTAATTTCAACTTCTTAAAATTTCCAACACTACAGTTTAGTCATAAAGCTCTTTTAATTCAACTTGTGGCCTTTTTCAAAACTCGTTCATTTTTGGTTATTTCAAAGTACTGTATATATCTATATATACAAATCTTATCACATTTTCAGTCATTCAAAAATTTACAATGATATCAAGTTTCTACATCATTTTGAAAAAATTTCAAAGAACTGTCTCATCAACTTCATTATACATCCCAAATGGCCTAATTTATATCTACAATTCCTTGATCTTACATATTCATCAGTTTATATATTGTTCCTTTAAACACATCTCCACATTATACATTTTTTATTCTATTCTTTCAGATGTTAAATTCTTACAGTAGCGGTCATAAGTATCCGACCGCCCAAGATTGTCCAAAATTATTATATAACTACCCCTTAAATTTTCCAGAAATATAATATAACACAATACATGATCACCTGT